GAAAGGAAAGGAAAAGAAAAAAAGAAAAGAAAAGAAAAAGAAAAAAAAATAAACATCTGGATTAAAGCAGTTGTAGGTTAAAAAAAATGTGTTTGGGAATAAAATATGGTTTGACATTTACTGCCTTCCACATATGTTTTTTTCTCTTTTTTCACATTTCAGTTGTTAATACAGCGAGCTTTTTCTTTCTGTATGTATCTAGCAGTATTTCTCTCTGAAGGAGGAGAAGGAGAAGGAAAAAAGAGAAAAGAAAAAAAAAGAAAAGAAAGAGAAAAAAGAAGAAAAAAGAGAGAAATTAAGAGAGTGAGTGAGAAAAAGAGAGAAAGAAAAAAGAGAAAGAGAGAAAGAGTAAGAAAAAAAGAAAGAGAGAGAGAGAGGAAATTGAGCTGTCTAGAGAGCTGTGACTTCCAACCAAACCAAATATACATAGTCGTTTTTTTTTCTTTCTTTCTTTCTTTTATTATGGGCGATACATTTTTTTTTTTTTTTCGTTTAGACTCGAATCTTTTGTGGAATCGTAGAACATTTCAGACAGTCAAAGACACAGTAGTCTTTGGTTTCTGTCGAAATTGGGGTAGAAGTGGTTCCTAGAATTTACTTAGGAATACATCATTATTAACTTTCATATCATGCAAAGTCTTATGAAATTATTTTTGGATCAGCTGATAATTTCAGTTCAGAAATATGCACACAAAGAAGGAAAATGTGCTATAGATTCATGGTTATTTTAATATATTCGGACAGTTGGCATTTTCAAAGTTTCAAAATTTTCGCGCCAAATAGAACCCGGTTATGAAGACCATTGTTTAACCGCCATTGGATAGCGGATGCGTGGAGTTTTGAAATTTTATGAGCTTTAAAGATAATAATTCTAAGATAATATAGGTCGCAGGGTATGAAGAATTTAGTTGTTATTTTTCTTGGGCACAGACGCGGCAAGGAGAGCATGGGTAATGTAGATAAACGAAATGATAATATTTGCGCAGTTTTAGGACTTGATCCAGTCCGTAAGTCACCAAAATAACTTCAAAGATTAACGGCCGGTTTGTTCAAAATGCAGATACACAGAAGTAGATGCATTTATATCTTCCGCCTCCATAGATAGATATATGTATATTTATCAGATTCATAGACTGATATGCATTTATTTCTGTGTATATGCATGTCTGTATACAGGGGGTCCTCGGTTTACGACGGTCTCGACTTACGACGTTTCGTGGATACGACGCTAGAAATTATGTATTGTATTTACGGTTTCTCCTCCATGTGTTCCTTTAGCCCAAGTTATGTTTTCATTTACGTCATTGAAGTGTCTTGTTATGTATTAGATTAAGAATTAATACATTTATATTAGCATATGTGAGTGACTTCGGTGCATATGTCCATGTACTGTATTTAGGCGTGTTCCGACTTACGGCAAAATTCGGGTTACGACGCCATCGTAGGAACGGATCTCCGTCGTAAGTCGAGGAGACCCCCCTTGTATATGGAATATTCATTGGTTCGAGCCTCGCACAATTTGAACAGTACGGCCCTAAGTCTCCAGAATTATCCAGACTTCGATTTCGTAAGCATCAATTTTCCCTTAAACTGTAACTCTTGTAACGGTTTTACTGGTCATCAGCGGCGGCCGTTATTTTTCCCGCGTAAAGACGTTCGGCCTCCATTTTTTTCCCGGATTGCAGCAATAAGTTAGTCATTGCAGCTTGTAATCAGCCAGGTAATTTTATTCATTATGTAGGTATTGAAAGAAGAAGAGGAGGAGGAGGAGTAGAAGAAAGAAGAGTAGAAGAAAAGAAGAAGAAGAAAGAAGAAGAGAAGAAGAGAAGAAGAAGAAGAAGAAAGAAGAAGAGAGAGAAAGAAGAAGGAAAAGGAGTAGAAGAAGAGAAGGAAGGAAGTAGAAGAAGAGAAGGAAGGAGTAGAAGAAGAGAAGGAAGGAGTAGAAGAAGAGAAGGAAGGAGTAGAAGAAGAGAAGGAAGGAGTAAAAGAAGAGAGGAAGAAGTAGAAGAAGAAGGGGAAAAAGAAGAAGAAGAAGAACAACAACAACAACAACAACAACAACAACAACAAAAATACCTGTTTATATCCTGCAATGGATCGCGTTAGCTGGCAGATTTGCACTATATAAGAACTCGGCTAGCATGCATCCAACCGATTTCGTAATCTGATGATATTCAGTTGAGTCGAAGATCGCTAAAGCTCCGTAAATCCGGAGGTCGATGACATAAATAAACGTAGATTGAATCAGCGAAAAGAGAGAAAGAAAGGAAACGAAAAAAGAAAAAAAACGAAAAATATAGCCCGTTTTTGTTTTTTTTTCTTGTCTTTTCTTCACTATTATATTTTGAAACGAAAAGAAAAACCGAAAAATATAGCCCGTTTTTTTTTTTTTTTCTTGTCTTTTCTTCGCTATTATATTTTGATACGTAGCGGTGCGGTGTCGGGTCGTCTGCAATGATGAGCAACGGGCACGCAATAAGTACATAAGTGTATATATAAG